CACACACACACACACACACATATATATATATATCCATTGACCATGTCTAGCCTGGGCTGAACACCATTTCTAAATTATACATATATAATTATATAGGATATCCTTGCTCGTTGTACTTGTAAACGGACTATGCTTATCCCACGCTCCAGTCTGTGAGGGCACAATGAAACTAGCACGAATAACGTACAATATTCTGAGTGTTGAAATAATACAATCTACAGATGCAATATAGTCTAGCAAAGTAGTTCATATTGATTCTACAATAGGCATGGTCAGATATATATAGCACGTCCAATATTGCCTCAAATAGAGATTAAATTCTCAGCTCCGATATGGCTGTTGGCACATATGCACATGTTTCGCACTTGTAGCCTCCTCGCAAACATAACAACGATGGGCTCATACGTCTATACACATCTAAAGTGTAACATACCCGATGTGGCTCCGATATCCTCGGCATCCAGTGTCTTTGGGTCTAGCTCAGCCGCCATCGTCGATCACGTATCTATCTATTATATGCACTTGCGAACTATGCTACGCTTATATAAATATGTTGATTTTTAACTCTCGTCAAAGATTACATACATATGTACATATTTTTAATATCTTTAGAAAGAGCCTCTATATAATTAGACAACACATATTAAGCTAATGTACAGTTCGGTACTTCACCATCAGGCTGCTGAGTGCTGACTGCTGAGTCATGAATCATGATGTGTCATTCAGCTAAATATGCATTTAGGTAATATTTAAAAAGTAAATAGCCACACAAATATATACGATTCCAGTACCTCGGTGAAGTGTCAAAAGAAGCGTATAACGTTGAGAACTTAGAACACTACCTTAGTACACCACGATGGGCGAACCAGGCCATGGTTCAAGCGGCACACTGTATAACACAGCCCCTCTCAAGCGCTTCAACGTAGTCAAATCATGTACAATGGCTATATTCAAAGACCTCGAGGCAGTGGTACAATCGTCCGAAGATTTATTGGAGAAGCTGTTGCAAGGCAATCTCGAGCTCAATACACCTGTATCACCGCGAGTATCCAGAGGTAAAAATGCCAGAAGCCATACAAGGACTGACAAGACAGCCTCTCTCGGTACAACATCGAATAAGGGGTCATCGTGGAAGTATGGTAGCATCACATCGACCAAAAGCAGCAAAGTTGAGCGAGCACAGGCTCAAGACGAAAGTAAGGACGGTGTTAGGGATGAGTGGGTAACCAAAGATAAGTTGGCAACGATGTCAGAAATGCACCGCACTGTCACAGAAACACTACCCATTATAGAAAGAGATACGATGAAAGTCGTCTTTGTCGGCCATACTTCCAATGGCAAATCGTCCACTATCAACGCCATGTTATACAGCAAAGTAATGCCTACGAGTTTTGGTCACACTACGAACGCCTTCATATCAGTCAGAGGTACCAGTGAGAAACCTTATATAATGGTTAATGATGGGCACGAGCGTAGAGACTTGGCATCCTCGGAAACACTGGGTCAAGTATTATCAGATCTTACCAGAGCAGGGGTGGATGACAATGGACTCCTCTGCAGTGAGGTTGCCGTGTATTGGGATAAAGTCAAATGCCGACTTCTGGAGCACGATATAACAATCATCGACACACCGGGTAAGCATATGAGTTTTCTTGTACACCTGCGACCTATACTGGCAGTGATTTGATATGTTGATGACAATATGTCAACTGTTACGTGCCAGCTCAGAGAAATAGATACAAAGTCTCGAGTGGATAATCACTTAGTTTTCCACTATCAATCGGCCAACCAATAGCCATTTTTATGGCCGCTCTATACTTGTCAATATACGTATGCATATATATACACACACACACACACACACACACACATACATACACATACACACACTATATATATAT